AGGCAATAATTTCCTTAACTAATTAATTCTTTACTATCATTTAATTAGTAAAATTATTATCGCTGCTTCCGCTCTTATATCGTATTCCTATCACATGAACGGAAAATGCAAATCGCTTGAATAGAATTTTGTTCAGAGAGAAATTACAGAATCCTACTACACGGGTCGTTGCATAGTACTGAAGAATCGACGAGACACTTCGTTGATCTATGGCAATTTCCTATGCATGGTTTCAACTTTTTCATCCATTTCGACCGCTAACAAAAATTCTATGCTATAATCATTGGGAAACCTATCAATTAACTGTTGAACTTTAAATTCGTATGTTTGTCTCTATCCGTATCCAGGCATTTTGTCATTTTGGTAGCGGTCGAGATGGATGAAAAAGCTGAAACCATGCATAGGAAATTTGCTTTTCGGTTGATAATCTCTTTAAAAATTCCATCATTCGGTTTTATTAACTCATTTGATGATCAAATTTATTTGAGAATTTTCCAAGAATGAAAAAGATAGGTCGCTTAACATATAGAGAATTCTAGAACTTTGCTTCGGAAACTTCTTGGAACTTTGCTCATGTAGACAAACTTCCGAGAATATGATTCATCAGGCACATTTTTAACATGGATAAACAATGATCTCAATGTCACCATCCTATATGAATAGATAATCTCTTTTTCATCAGCTTTCTAGAAACAAGTCATCCTGAACTTTTCTTACCGATTCCTGTCAAATAAATGTTATAATTAAAAAGAACTTTTTACCTATGAAAAAAACCCCATATTTACATTATCATTATCATCATCATTATCAACAACTACGACAATTTTTCAACCATTCTTTTACAAATTCGAATGCAATCAACAACTGATGAATTTCTCATCATAAAACTAACTCGGTCACTAACTGACTGTAATTGACTTCCTACTGGATCGTTGCTGATACGGCTTATATTGTAAATATGAGGTAACACTGGTACTTGCTCGTTATCAGTTTGAGAGTTTAATATCCGTCGCATAATATTGTCTAAAAATAATGAAAACTGAAGATAGGCTCAATTCATAAATTACTACTAATAAATAAAACCAACAAAATTTTCCTCCATCCTATGATATCACTATAATGTAGCAAAAATAGTTTAGCTAATTGTTTAACGTGATATTTAAGCTATCTGTTAGGTAAAAACAAGATATGATATGGTATATCGTTACCAATCATATCTGGAATAAACTTAACGAATTGCCAAATAAGACATGAGACGATCGAAAACTTCGAGATTCAAGATTTCACGCGTAGATTCACGAATGATACTACTATAAAACGTTCGGATGGTTACAACGTTAAGTTCTCGGATTGATATAACAAAATCTCAAACATATGTAAAGAGCAGAATTAAGATTTCGAATTTTCTGAATAGTTGTTTCTGGATTAGCAGAAATGCTAATCTTCAAATTAATTCTCGAGGCATTTTTTAAGATTGGAAGAGTTAAGACTGACATAATAAAAATTTGACATTTAATACTTTAAAATTGTGATTAGTTGTCACCATTTCTGTACACTTTAAATAGAATTGATTATGCTGGTTTACTCCCTCTCCTTAAACAGATAATATTTCGATGTATTGTTGCAACCGGATTAATCAATACTAATCAATAATCAATATCAATTGTTATCAACTATTATCGATCAATACCAATCTATTCAACATTTGCCGTCATTTTCCTGTTCATAATTTCGAACATTCAAGAGTAATCACATTTAAATTTGTGAATCAAGTACTTTGAAATCTGTGAATGTTGTGGAAAAAAAAATCTCATCCTGAACAAAAAAAAAGAAAAAACACAATTAAATCAATTTCGAAGAAAATAAATGAAAGAGTAAAGGAAAAGAAATGCCAAACATCATCCGATGACTTCGAATTTTCCAGAATAAACTGAAATAATTCCCAACAAATGCCACACAGCTATGATAATTTCACGTTAGTGGTAAAATAATACATCAACGACGACGTAAAAAACGCATCCCTTCCATTTTTCCATATCACAATCAAAAGAAATCTCGAAGGAACCCCCGGGATGTCGCGTAAATTACAACCGAATAACTTAAAACCGAACGCAGTAAGCAGAGTACGTGCATTACCGGACAGCCATTTCAACAGTTTTTTCTCTGCATCTTACCCATGCGAGCGAGTTGGTATTGATTTGCAAAAAAATTTATGAATGAGGTAGAATTTTCCGATTTTCTCACGCCAAAATTACTGTAGAAAGGAGCTTAATTAAGGAGATTTCCTTTCCGGATTGATTTTCGAGTAATATCCAGGATGTCCCTTGTAGTTTCCAAGAATATCTTTGAAATTCGGTTGTAATTTACGCGACATCTCGGGGGTTCCTTCGACTGAATCCTGAATATTGATTCAAGATTCACGATATTTTCACGTTGCATTTGCTTAATATTTACTCGACCTACTTTTATTCATATTTGATACCAAATCTCTCCTTCTCTTTCAAATACACGTATTTGGCGTCACATACGTAAGCCAACTTACGTAACGTAACTAAAAATAAAGTACAACATTAAGCCATGATAGATAATTCATTATAATAATTTAATGGTAACTGAATTTTAATCAAATGCCATTTTAGGAACTATCATATTTTATAACATGTTTCGTTCGATATATTGATTAGTTTTTTTTTTTCTTTTTTTTTACTATAATTTTTTATTTTTTTTCTATTCGGAAGAGCAAAAAGCATTTTGGACTGGGAAAGTTCATTGCTTTTTTTTTCATTTTAACAACTTATTTTCTCTCGTTTCTTTCTTCGAGAAATTCATTTCCCCATTGTACAGTAATCTTAGTGATATGAATGATGCAATCAGGAAATTTTTGCAATGCATTTGTAATTTCAGGTTGTTGATAAGTAAATTTTACTAAATCAATTTGAATGAGACATTTCATGACATCTCACACAAGTAGTTACATACGCATTACACGCACGTATATCACGTACATTTGAGTGATTTCAAAAGAATATGGATATTTTTTGGATCCTTTGTTTAGAATTAACACACATAGAATACGTTAGGTTTGTCATGTGAATCACGTGAACATTTTCAGAATTTCGGAGAATTCAAAATTAGTGTATGTAAGCTATACATATCATTGTTATCATTGGTTAATTGGTATTACTCTTCTTTTTTTTTTTTTTTAGTAAGTATTTTTAGTTTTTGCTTAGTGATTTGTTAGAAAGAAAAATTTTGTCATTTAATAATTTTGAATTATTATTAGCTTCAAAAAATATTCAAATTAGATTGAAATTTCCAAAGATATTCAATTAATATGATAATCAGCATCATTAATTGGTACTTTCCTACTATTTTATTGAAAATTCATTAGGAAAAAAATAAAACTTTATTCAAAATTTTTGCCTTAATTTTTTTTTTGATTAATTAAATTAATCATATTTAATCAAATGCTAAATTTGGCAAAATTTTGATCTAAATTATCTTTTATTAGCCAAATAAGCCTTTATATTTGGCTAATAGCTTAAAAGATTTGCTAACATCTATAAGTGTAAACATTTTGATGAAATAAAATTAACCGAATAAATGGGTTTAAATTCGAAAATGAGCTTATACGAAACTGATAAATAATACTAAAATAGCTGAATAATCGTTTAATTGCTAATTAAAAAAAAAAAAAAAGAAATGAACAGGAAAGAATAAAAATCCTGTAATTACCTATTGCTAGCAATTCATTTCTATTCCATATTGCTATATCAGGAAAATTCCTGATATTATCATTTTTTTCCGCATCCATCCCGGTTTTTTTTTCAAACTTTTGTTATTCCTCTTAATTCATAAAAACTTTTACGTTTACTTCTTCGTCTTACCTTTTCTTAGCTTTTGTTTGTTTAGCAAATGTGAAATTTTATTATTTATAATAGCCAGGTAAATTCCCACCTCCATTCATTCCTCTCACAACAACTGTCACTAATTGTCACTGTTTGCTGTACGCTTTAAAACCTATTTACGATCGATTATACTGATTTACTCTGTTCGGTTAAACGGATAACATTTCGATGTATTATTATAGCCGGATTAATCAATTATTTTTCATCATTTGCCTTCATTTTTTGCATATAATTGGCAATTCTATTGCTACACAATTTCCTTTAAACAGTAAAATTTGGTATTATTATACGATAAATTTCGAAAATTCATTTTAAAATTTATAAAGTAGTGAAATATATAAGGAAAAGAGAAAGATTTTAAAAAAAATAAAATTTGTGATCATTTCTTATGTAATATTTTATCAATTTTTTTTAAACCAACAAATTTCTCATACATCCTGTAAATTTGAAACTTTTCTACAACAAAAACTTTCCATATATTTAAGATCTACAGTGGTTATGTCCTATAGATGAAGTACCATTTCTGGATCCAGCAACAGGTCAACCACATTATTGCTCATTGACAATTCATTGTCCCATTGGATACGATTGTTTTCAGGGAACAATTTGTTGTAGGAAACCTGGCCAATGCCTTAATGGACAATCAATTGCAACAGATAGTAATGGTAAATTTATGATAACTTATCAAAAATTTTCTTCCTAATTTCAAATCTGATTGAATTTTTTAATTTACAAAAATTTAAATTTCTTATTTCCTGTTACGCATACACTTTCCAACGTACATAAATTACCCTCTTATAGATTTATTCTATTTTTAATTTTCCCATTCAGTTATTTATAAATTTTTCATAAGAAAAAAAAGGAAACGATGAGATTTCATTTTTTTATTCTTGCTAATTTTTATAAATATTCATTCAAATTTAAATTTGTAAAACTTCAAAACTTATTAATAAGTTTCATAAATTTTTTCTCGAACTTATGAAAAAAAAACCACCGCCTTCTTTTGCTTGCCTATGATGTTAATCTCATTTTTTTATACCAACAAGTATTTTCTTTCATTTGAATTTACCCAATTAAATGCCTTAGTAATACTGTACCTGTTTTACACGAAGCTACGGTAACACCAATTCATTTAGGTTTTCCACTGTAGCGTGTTCTAAAATTTGCGGCTAAAATTTTATGACGGAATGTTATTTGATCAGTTGAATAAGTACATTTAATCAGTGATAAAACTATGAACAGAACATATATCATATGGCATTATAGATAAAGTACTATTAACTTGAGAAATTTTCAGTAATCAATTGATTACGGCTAAAAAAAAATGCTTCAATGTCATAAAACATTGGAAGTTTTTGATAAGTTTGTGATAATGAATTAATAAAGCACAAAAAAAAAAATTACCCGATATTTCCATCTTTTTTAGGGCATTTGTTGGCATGTATTCCGTCTGGTCATTGTCCATCATATAGTGTTTGCTTACCGTCAATATCATTATCTACTACAGTTTTACAATTCCTTTGTTGCAATGTATCCATATCAGCAATTCAATCCAAATCCATTCAACGATCAAGAAGATACAACCATTCGGTAATGGCATTACTTCCTTCTTTTTGAATTATTAAATTATTAAAATATTATTTATAAATGTTTACCAATCAACGAATTATTCTGTTTATTTTAAATGTTCCATTTTCATTAAATAACGATTTTTTATTAAGAGTAAATATCAATTGTTCAGAAATTGAATAGTACCGTCTAAAATTTTGAAATATCAATGAACAATTTCTAAAAGTACTACTAACAATAACTCATCGTGTCCACTCAATAACCATTCTTATTTTCAGCCGATATTTCACTGTCAATTGAATGGTATGTTTGCTTTTTTAATTCAAATTTTGTTTAAGGTAAGGTTCGTATAAGGCACAAAAAAGTGGTAAATGTGTGAAAAAATGCGATGGTATTTTTTTTCATCAGAAAAAAATTTCATTAAATACGAAAGAGTTCCTCTTCAAAGTTGAAAAATTTTTTCAGAAAATGGAAATTTTTAATAATTCAAAAATTATTGTAATAATTA